CCGAGTTCAATTGAGTGTAACATTAATAAACATGGATCCCAGTACTAGTTTTGAGACTGAAGAGGTTGAAAATGTACATTCATATGCATATAACGGCCCACAGGCTTATAATTATGAGCCTTCTGGGCGTCCAAGAGACCAGGAACAGATCAGGGTTAGGAGAAGTAACGACCACAGGAGAGAAATAGAGCTGTGGTGTGAGGAGAACCAGTGAAGAACTGGGCAGGTGTCTTGGTGAGCGACCAGCATTAGCTAACAACAGCTAACGATGTCTAACGCTGTGTCCACGTCACAACATTAAGTTTGCCATCACGTATTAGGTTATAACAAAGCTACCAATAGTTCTGCCAGTATTAGATCACTAATGCTTACCCATAACAGAAACTAATGCGCAAATATCAGTTTGTATCAGACGTATCTTGCTATGTGTGTTATAACTCCGCATTATGGTGTATTGACGTCCGCAGGGGAGAGAGGGAGAGAGAAAGAGATACGAAGATTTCCTGATCATTTTTTGTATGATAGGTGCTTGTGTGGGAACTGCCAGCCCATGTCCTCAGCTGTGAAGAGTATGTGCTGCAGGGAGGTGGATGCCTTCTGGGCTCTGGTGGAGAATCTGACCCCCAGACCAGACATAACATGCCTCACACTGCCCATCAACCCTCACGCCGCCCGCTCCCGTCTCAAACACGGAGGCATGGAGGTACATACCCCCGAGCCTCGGGGGTATGCACGAGGGTGGGCGGGCTCCGCGGAGAAGGAGATCTCCGTGTTTGAGACGAATATAATCCTCCTGTCCAAAATGAGTGCTGCATGCGACCGCGTTTTTGGTCACAGATGAAGCTGTGAAATCGCGCCTCTTCACCTGCACAAAACAGGCACGAAAACTAACTCCACTCCTTTTTCTGTCCAGAAAACGGTGGACTCAATGTCCTGACAGACTTGAGTTTTTGCAACCTGCACAAACACAATAATTCGGCATAATCACAAATGGTGAAATGCACTGTTAACAACCGAAAAAATACTAACTCACAAGTTTACTACTGCTCAGTCTCACTACCACCTACTACTGCACATTGGACAGAGGCAGGGTCAAGGACGCAGAGTCCCTCTCGTGACGTAATATCAGCCGATGTTGAAAAAAAAGCGTTTTTAGAAGAGGAGCTAAAAAGAGCCACTTTTTCCTCAGAATTTGTGCCCTTATCTCGTGTAAACCATAATAAATTCTGAAATAACTTCTCATATGGTAATTTTCAGACAAGGTTATGTATATATTTTTTTTTTAAATTTAACCTGCAAGTTGCACTTAAGCCATACTTAATGTATCTTTTGAATCAACTAAATTTTAGAGCACTTAACAGAGTCCTCCACCACCGACTAGCGTTTTGGAGGTGTAACTGCAGAGGGACACAGACACACCACCACAGAAGTAAAAATAACGTGTAGATTTTTTTTTTCCCACAACTAATCAATTAGTTAAAGATTATGTATGACTTCAGTCGACCAAGATTTTCTTTGGTTGACTACAGCCCTAGTAATGTCAACAGACTCCACACACTGTAGGAGAGGCAGTCAGCCTTTTATGCGGTTATGTAATCATACAGCCTGACATCGCGATTGCAACTGTTATTAGATTAATTGTGTAGCACTATTTAACACTGCACAAGAGTGAATAAATAGCCATCCTCTGCTATGTCAAGAACTCCGAAATCCTGCAACCTTTACTATTAATATGGGACCTTTGGTTATAGTTATTCATTTAAATAGTAATCTGACTTCCAAATTGATAATTTAGCGTATTTTATGAGACTGATATCATTAACTGGCATTTATTTTTCCCTTTTTCAATATGGTGCCCCACAATGTGATTATTGAACATAATTAATAATCATTATTATTATTATTATTATATTATTATTATTATTATTATTATTAATAAATAATAATAATAATAATTAATATTTACTTACAATAGCCATTTTAATACTTTAATTGGAGGCCTGTTACGAGGTCAGTTCCCAACAAGGCAATCTCATAATTGATTCTGATAAAGGCCACGTATATCCCATAACCTATTTTTGCTAATGCATACATGTAACCATGGCAACACATATGCACGTCAGTGTGGGTATTTTACCTGATTAAAAAACCTGTTAAAACTGTCATCACTGTATCCGACTCTGTGTACTTTGTCTGTTCCTTAAATCCATTTAAAGGTGTGTGACAGTGATCTCATAGTATTAAGCCCCAAATTATTACTGTACAAGACGCCTACTTTTCATCCTGTCTCAATGTTATGCCAGACTCACACTACACTATTTTAACCCCTCTTATAGCCCGATGCAGCAATGCACACACATACAGTGCTGGCTCGGATCGTGAACGACAATGAATGTCGTAGGCGATAATCCATCGTTTCATCTTGTGTAGCGTGTCATAGTAGATGACAACCGACACCACGTCTGGGATGCCTCACAACATTCAAACAGAAAGTCTAGCATGTTTGATTTTCTCTATCATTCATGAAAGACGGTGCAATCTGCTGCTGTAGACAACTGTATGGCAACATCACCCCAGTCTTTTAGAAATTTCCTCTAAGGATGTTACCACAACAGAGTAAAAAGGGGAAAATGATGGCGTGAAACAACAGAGGCACTTTAGCAACCAGGTGCCATTAGCATCAAGCTAGCAAAGAATGTTTTTTCTTCATAATGGAGGATATAAAGTAATAAAATAAAGACAATAGAGTTGGGGCTTTTACTCACCACAACTGCAGGGGGTACCAGCTTCATTTGAAACAGGCTACATTATAAACGGGCTGTTATTTATTATTCCCTCTCTATTTTTAAATTTTTACTTTTTATCTGCCCCCGTTTGCCTTGATAAATTTAATGCATCGCGCCGTCATTTCAAACTCAACACTTCTTATATCTGTATAAAATTAAAAGCCCCTTATAACTTCAGTTGAGAGAATCCCTTCATTTTCTAAAAAGGCTTTTATTGTGAAACATTTGCAGGAACTTGTTGTGGGGGATTTAGTTACTTGCATGTCTGCACAGGGCACTTCAAATGTAGCTCCTGGCATCTGGTGGCACTTTTTTACGCAACTACAACATTTCAGCTAGCACAGGAACAAACAGGATGACTGAAATAATTAGGGCAGTAGTCTCCTGGTCGACTAGTCGATTATTTGGTCGCTATGCTCTCATCCAACCAAATTCTCATTAGTCGAATAATTGCCATGTTACTTTCATTTGGAGAAAAGTGCTACATCAACAGCTTTCCAGGATTAATCCATTATTTCCCGCGGCGGGGGGGGGACAGGCTAAATTACCTGTTGACAGAAAGTTGGACTCGCCCACCCTCACGCTCAGCGTCCCGGTGACGCAGACCTCCTGTCTGTTTCTGTAAGCTGATACCATTCCCCTCAGTGAAAAGAAGCTTGTATTTATTTGTATTTCACAGATAAGAAACAATAAATTGTGAAGACAGTAAAGCCTCCACTAAAACAGCATTTTAAGTCGTGTGTGATTTATCTTTCAGGGATTTATACAGGAAATTTCCGCTCATCGCTAGGCTAATGTATACAGTGTAAAATGCCATAGGCTGGCGCTAATAACGTTAGCATGTTGTATTTGCTTGGAAAACGTGTTTAGTATAAGACAGTTGTTTTGTCTGTGAATGTTGTGAGTTGTAATGGACCCAAACTGTGTGCCGTTACCTTTGTTACATGCTGCTGTTGTCCCTGGCTTTATATGAGAAGAGGAAAAGATCGCTAGACGCTACGCTAATTTTCACAATGTAAAACGCCATAGACTTGTGCTAATAATGTTAGCATGTTGTATGGGTGGGGGAAATATGTCCAGATAAAGACAAGTGTTTGTCTGTCAGTTCTGCGATTTATAGTGAAGCCAATTTGCGTACTTGTGTTTGAAATTGTCCATATTAGGCCATATTTAATGTGTGTTTTGAATCAACTATAGAAATAAAGTTTGATTTGAACTAAACTTTACAGCACTTAACACAGTCCTCCACCGCCGACTAGTGTTTTGGAGGTGTAACTGCAGAGTGACACAGACACACCACCGCAGAAGTAAAAAATAACGTGCAGATTTTTTTTTCCCCATGACTAATCGATTAGTTGAAAATTATGTGCGACTTTAGTCGACCAAGATTTTCTTTGGTTGACTACAGCCCTAGAAATAATAGTATTAATAATAAAATAGGACAAGAATAACCCAATGATATCACACACGTCATGAAACATGACCGGGGATGATTGGTGTGGACCATCATGTAATATGTCAGGTCTGTCAGCCAAGTCACGGCACGATTTTATGACTACACAATCGTGTAATCTGACAGTGATTGTCGGAACAGGCAAAAATGTTGTGTAGTGTGAACCAGGCATTAATCATTATTCACAACATCCCATTCATTTGCGGTCTAATAATAGCCTCCTAATAATTCTTACAAATAGTTATTTTTCTGTGAGCTCTTTGTGAGCTTCAAAGAACATAAAAATGAAAATTTAAGAAGCACAAAAGCGCTGCTGCAGAAACTTCTCTCAGTCACCAGAATCTGTTTTCGCCATGTGGGTCCTGATGATGCAGGATGGCAAACACCAAAATCAACGAGTTTCCTGTCAGTCAGTAGTTCATGTTTACCCCTCTTGGTTTGTTACAAAAAGTCCGTGTGAACAGGAACTTGAACCAAAACTAAAACGCAAATATGTATCATCTTTTGCCTCTGGTGCAAATGAACCCAACTTCAGGTGTGAAAGCACTTATAGTTATCCTTTAAAGATAATGTTCCCTTTGTCTGACAGTGACTGTAGTGTTTGGATGCTGCTGCTCAGCTTTGGCCCTCATTGGTTTGTATAGTTGTATAGACTGGTTTCATTTTGTATCCAATACTGGCTTTATGCTCTTTCAACGAAGGTATGCAAATCAGCTTTAGTTTAGTATGTGATTGTGTTTCAGCAAACACTGTATACTCACCAGAATCCAGTCCAGTTCCGCCATTGAGTGCAACGTCCTATAGACAAGAGATAAACACAAACCTTTTGAACGCGATTAACACAACACATATTTTTTTATTATTGCAGATCACGACACTGCTGACAGATGATGGACCCACCATTACTGTCCGAGCGTTCGACCGGATCTGCGTTCACGCTGGCTGCCTGCTCCATGTTCACATAAAGGAAGTGCAGGATCAAAGGAACACAAGGGGCTACCGGGCCGGCTCACGTTACCGGGCCGGGCTAACACTTCAAACCACTGATATACACAGGAGACATGGCACACTCAATAGACGGCAGATTTATGACATTTTGACCACGTCATATGACACGGGGTGTATCATACAAATAAATACCCGCGGAAACAACCAACCCTGAAGGTTCCCATTCAGTGGGTGTTTCTCAAAGTTAAGGGCTGCGGTCGGAAAGTCCCTCCTATCGTCTATTCCTAATCACTATTCCTTGACCTCGGTGGGAAACGTCACGAGGTCAATGAAAGATGAGTAGGAGAATTCATAAGGATTTAGGAAAAGAGAACCGCGAAACTGAGAAAATCCGACTGCACTTACGCTGGGCTACGTCATCATGCGACGGCGGACGTCAGTGACGTAGTCGACCGTAGTGAAACTACAGTTTAGTTTAGATGGACTACAAAAAGCGCATCTCAGATACTCCGACCCGTGCCTACTTACCATGTTGCTTCATACAGGCTAGCTATATAAACGTGGACAGCACAGTGACAAATATGACTTAATTACCAACGTCTGAATTGAATTAAAAAAAGATAGATAGGCAGTCACAAAACTGAAACGCTGAAAATGGTTGCTCACACTCACCCTCCTGAATCGTGATTATTTATGACAAATGTTCAAGTGTATGCAAGAGAGGTAGGCTTACAAATCTACTACTGTACATATCATTCTTAAGTTGCAAACATGTTGAATTAAAAACATCATCTAAATAAAAACGTTTCATATCCCTTTTTCTTGAAACACAAACTTCTGTGTTAATATGCCAATCAATCATCATCTGTCATTTGCTTACAATAGTTTAAAAACGACCACAAAACTCGGTAAACACCTTGAAATGTTGACATGATTGTGCCTTGAAGTTATTTTTCATTTTATTTTTTTAATTGTGTTTATTGGATGTTCCATCATATTAGTGACAATAACAACACAGAAAAAAAGAACAAATAACAAGAGCATACATAGGGATGAAGGTGCACCTGTGCAATTAAGAGTGTATCTTCTGCCTAAATGGACAGGTTTTCTGTGTTTGCTGATGTTCGTATGCAAGAAATGAGTAAACTATTCAATTCACAGAGAGAGCAGAAAGGGAAAGGGGGGCAGGGTAGAGATGTGGGAGGCTTTATTCTGAAGTGTTTGGGTGAAATTCATTTGTGTAATAGTCTAAAAAGGGCTGCCTCCGGCTGAAGAGGTGCTCCAGCCGCACATGTGCCCGTATAAGTGCAGAGATGTCAGCATCTGTGACTGAAGAAAAATTCATTAATGATATTGCTAAAAGCTGGCGATTAAAAAACGGCCCTCAAATAGTGACATGATTAATGCACACTGAGCATATCTTACACCACAATATTAACTTGAATTGGGTAATGTTACAACAGTAGCGCGACGTTTATAGTTCGCATGGGTTTAACATATTGTTGAGAGTTTGGAACATATAACGTTACACATATTATCAAGTTATGGCATGAGATGGGCAAAGCTTCATGTAACGGTGACTTACATGGTGATCTCCGTGACTTTTCAGTCATGTTGAGAGCCAGTTGTTCTTTTTCTTTACCTTTCGTCGCTTCTTTCGTTCCTCCTCTTCTACTTCTTCGGGTTTATTCGTTTGTCTCCGTGAACGGTAGGTCGCTTTAAATATTGCTGCCGCAAAGCATTGTGGGATTAAATTATCTCCTTTCCTATCACTTAGGAAGGTCCAATGTATCCTATGCTAAGGGAGATCTGAAAGGAAGCATTGAACCTCCTTTCCTTAGTGTTTAGAGAATTCGAACAGCTCTTATCATGGCAGCCACTAAAATACTTCTGGGTCATTTCACTCAGCTAGGAACCTTCCTAAGCAAAAAAGACTTTCCGACCACAGCCAAGGATCCTGCAGAGGCAAGGCAAGAGTCCTCCTGAGCATTCGGTGAACACACGTTGGAATAGGCTAATAAGTGTCTCCACGTGATCATCATTAACCTTCAGCAGACTGAAGAGGTTTCAGTTACTGTAATCATTTTGGCACTCTCCAATGTTGTTGGACAGTTTTAAACATATGTAGACTATCAGTATTGTCAGAATCATGTGACTTTTAGGGAGAATATATTTCTGGATCATATTTAAGAGTAAGTGGAGTAATGAAGTAAGACAACAGCTGAACAAGTTCTAAATTATCATTAACAGTATGAACACAGACTCACACACAGAATCACTCTGTCATTTCAAAGTAATCCATGTTTTCTGTGAGTGTACACTGCTACAATAATATGAACAGTAGATGAGCTGCGCTGCTCAAAACAAAGAGTGATGCTTTGACCTGCAGGATATTCTAGTGTCTTTACTGTGGCCATTCTCATCGCGATTCCCCCGAAAAATAGGCCTACACCTATTGAAGCAGACAGAATGAGAGCAGTTATCAAGTCGTTATCATGTGAACAGTTGGGGGTGGCGGCTACATTAGCCGTTACCTTGGAGAAAACTGTCCCTATGAAAGTGTATTACTGAGAAGAAATTATATGAATCTATGGGGTTACGTCATTCACTGAGTGATTCGTTCACCAAGTGATTCGTCACGCAGTAGGCAGTCCCTCCCTGCACCCTGGCTGCCTCACAACTCGCGAGTGTTTCATCGTTCGCACAGACCGAATCAGCAGTTCCACTCCCGGCCTGCACGCTCGCTGCTGAGCTCAACTGAACTGAGAAATGAACGAATCAGTTACGGAAGTGATTCAGTTCAGTATGTTCACTCAACAGATTCGTCCTTTTGAATGATTCGTTTGCGAACGACACAACACCAACACTTAGCACTCCATCTCTGCTGTGAATGATTCATTTAAAACTTTTATGTTTTACCTAAATCACGTTATTTAAAAAAATCTCATTATTCGGCAGTGGACACATTAGAAAGTGTAAATTATGAGGTTTCTGTCAATATTTTTTTCACGCTTGTATGATAAAACTCGTGGAAACATTAATCCAAATAAATGACATATTTATCTAAATCCTGCCGAGCTCCACTGGCGCAGGTTTCATTGAAGAGGCCCCGCCCTCACTTTTTTTAATTTTTTTTTTTCCACCGAGATCTACACATGCATCCTTCAAATTTCTCTGAAAGAAGGACTCAGTCTTTCGTGAAACTCGGAAGGATCCTTGACATTGGAACAGTCCTTCGGCGGGAGTCAATGATGACATAACGTCTTTCAAATTCGGGCGTTTGAGGATCCTTCCTTGACATTGAGAAACACCTACTATATATTGGGACATACTGAATCCTTTTCTGGCATACTATGTAGTTTGATAGTGTGGGGACTGGAATGCACAGTAAGAATCTCTTTAACAAGAGAGATCTGGCTAAGGTAGTAGCCAATCAAAACTCATTAAAAGCAGACTCTACCTGCTGAGGTGGCTCAGGTCTTTTGGAGTGCAGGGGGTGCTCCTCCTGAAGACCTTCTTTGACACTGTGGTGGCAGCAGCCATGTTCTACGGAGTGTTCTGCTGGGGCAGCAGTATTTCGGCTGCAGATAGGAAGAGACTGGACGAGCTGATCAAGAAGGCCAGCTCTGTCCTGGGATGCTCTCTGGACTTATTGCAGGTGGTGGGAGAAAGGAGGATGACAGCCAAGCTGTCATCTCTGAGGACTAATGACTCTGGAGAAAAGCTCTGGAGAATTCCTTCAGCAATAGACTGCTTCACCCAAAGTGTGTGATGGAACGCTATCGCAGGTCCTTCCTGTTACACAACCAGCACTGCTCACAATAAACTGCATTATGGACACTTTAGGGACACTATGGACACTTTATAAACACCACTATAAGCATTGCTATCCCCCTTGTTGTTTATTTGCACATACACTATTCACTTTGCACTAAATATGCTCACTTTAATCAATTGCTCACTTTTTATCCACTGCTCATTATTATTATTATCATTATTATTATTATTATTATTATTATTATCATTATTTATTGCTGTTTCTTGTATTTTTTGTACTTCTTTTTGCATGCCTAGTTTTTAAGTTTTTAAATAGGCCTATTGAAATCTTTAATCTGACTCTTTCCCCTTGACTGCTGTAACACTGGAATTTCTCAATTGTGGGATCAATAAAGGTGTATCTTATCTTATCATAAAATGCAACAAATACAACATATAATTAAAATCCACAATAAAACAACTATTCAAACATAGTGGCCTCTCAAGGAAAAGAAGCACATATCACCAAATTCTTTATGATGCCCTCAGATTCATCAGTGGATATAAGTATATCTAACTTAAGATCTTTTTGAAGATTTTTCCATGCCCATGGTGCAGAGTAAGAAAATGCAGTTTGCTCCAGATCTGTTAAAATTCTGGGGTACATTAAAAAACAACCACTTGGACGAGCGTAGTGTGGATTTTGGATAAATGGAAATTGAAAAAGATGAACTGGTGTAACAAAGGTTAATAATTTACTAATTATTAACTAATGATTATCTACTGTATGACATTTGATTGGGAGTGACTTAAGAACTGTTCATTAACTGATAATTACTTACTCATTCAATCCTCATTAGTTCCTCAGTTGTGTACCTTATTGTAAAGTGTTACCAACATTTATGGCTGGGATGTTAGCTGGTGTTTGATCCCTACATGCTGCCTTGATGCTCCTGCTGATGCTGAGATGGACACAGAGATGGTCTTCCTTGTCCGTGCAGTCAGAATTGTAGCTAAAACTAATCTTTTCCACTTAGTCCTTGTTTTTTTTTTTTGTTGTTGTTGTTGTTTTTGAGATGTTTACATTTGAAAATTCCACCAGCCAGTTATCAGAGTCAGCAGGAGAAGAGGGATTCGAAGTCATATATGGTCATTGCTGTGCTGTCTAATATTAATCAAAAGGTACAGCTGATTTTAAATAGCACAGGTTACCATAACAAAAAGGTGTCTGGAAAGACTGATACCTAGCAACCAATTGTATTTAAACTTTTACAGTGGAAGTATAAAATATTTATCTTCTAAATGTTGTGGGACAAAAATATAAAGCCTTATAAATTGGAAATCGCCTACTCAAGCAAAGTATCACTATCTTAAAAGTGCACTTCACAGTACTTGAGTAAATGTGCTTTTCCATGTGTGGTTTGAGACTAAATGAAGGCTGATAGTACTGATAAGAATTTCATGTCTCCAGCTATAAAGCTGCTGCCTGCAGAGCCACCACTTCACTCCATCACAGCCATGGCCTTCAGCAGACTTCTCACTGTGCTGGTTCTCATTCACAACACTGGAGGTGAGCAAGACAAACATGAATCTGTGATGATTTATCCACAAGTTATTTTATTAATGCCTACTAGTAGAATATAATCTTTTTAGGAATATAAATGCTTTTATCAATCATAAGATGAGGTATCAAAAACATAGATCTTTAATGCCAAAAGCAGTAAAATTGTTCTGTTACTAGAAATGATTTTTATGACAGATATCAACAGTTATTTGATTAGTGGTGACATCTAGACATTATAGTTTAATCTCTGTGTTTAAAAACACATTACTGCCTGTAGTGTCTCTGTTGTAGATTTAAAAAAGAGGTTTCATCAAGTTACATCAAGTCAAATCAAGTTTATAAATGATGCACATTTAACAATTACCAGCCTTAACCAAAGTGCTGTACAGTAAAGTAATATGAATAACATAAAATTGTAACAGCAAAAAGCAGAAGAGATAACATAATATTATCCCATAAGAATGTACAAATAAGTGAGTAAAGTAATAAAGTAAATCCAAACACAGAAGAGTAAAATGTGAAATATAAAATCTGAAATATAAAACCTTGAAACCTTAGGGACACTTAAAGGCCTCAGAAAACATGTGCGTCTCAAGCTTAGCCTTAAAAGTGTCTAGAGGGGGGAAACACTTCACTTAAAATGGTGAACTGTTTGAAAGCTTTGGGGTGGCTCTGGACAATGCACGATTGGCCTTACCCCTGAGCCTCAATCTTGGGACAGCCAGAAGCAGCTGGTCTGAGGGATCCGGGGTTGGATCTGAGGAGCTCAGAGATGTACTAGGTGGCCAGGCCATGCAAATCTTTCAAAACAAATAACAGAACCTTTAACTCATGTTTATACATGACCAGTAGCCAATGCAGGTATGCCAGGACAGGTGTGATGTGGTCTTTTCTTGAGTTTCCAGTTAGTAGTCTAGCAACAGTATTCTGCGCCAGCTGCAAGCCAGATATGGATGAGTGGCTTATTCCTACATAAAGAGCAGTGCAGTAATCCAGATGAGAGGAAATTGATTAGCAGTTAATTTATTAGTGTTACTATCTGTCAGAATTAAAATCCTGGTTGGATATTAGTTTGTTACTCAGGGTCATCTGAAGTTACCACTTTTATGTGATGTTAGTCATTTCTTTGAATAGCGGTTTTTGCCCTCACATTAAAATATCACACATATCACACAAGTCACCTCTAATATCCATACAGAGGTATCTGCATATATATATATGCTTTATCATCATCAGATGATAGATGATGGGTTCAGAGACAAACGCCCAATTTGCCCCCCCCCAACAATTTTATTTCTGTGGCTTAAATGGTAGAAATCGGTAGGCCCATGCATGAATAAATATCTCTGTCACTCATGATGTGATTTGTTGCATATTTGGAACATGATTCCTATAATACTGGACATTATATGTTACTATTTTTGATGAGTAGGAATTTGGAGCAGCTGCAGAATCAAAGTGAGTTTTTTTCAGTAGGCTGCCTATAGTCTAAACCGGTTTCAACAGAATTTCAGAGGCTGTCTTTTAATTTACATTCGTTTACGTAGGCCTATCTGAAATAAAGCCACTGAACACTGTTGGGCCAAAGACTCAAATAGAAGTCTGAAATTTTAAATCTACTTTAACCTCCGTGCCCTTTGAAGTGCAAATCACCAAATACATGGATCAAATCATGAGCTTACAATCATGTCTCTGTCTTTGATATAGCCTAAATATATTTTTAAAATCTTCAATTATATTTTTTTGTCTTCAGTTGCTGGACCCTGTGTTTTGTCCCCGTCAGATTAAATATGTTCAAATATATTTAAAATGTAGGCTAATGTAGGCAATGGCTTAATGACTAGTTAATGGATAACAATTAATCAAACTTTATTATGTTTATGTGTTGATGATTCCCCCGCTCTAACTCGGACTCTTTCTATTCTATTTTATTATATTTTAAATTATTTTATTTTATTTCATTTTTTAGATAAATGTGCGCAGTCTGCATATTCATGTAGCTATTTATATCGCTATGCACACGGGACTAAAATGGAGGCTCTACCTTTTATTTCAATGTTGCCATGGTGAATTGTGGTATCGGAGCTCCACTGACGATGGCTATTCTCATGCACCGCGCACGATCTTAACTCAGAGTGAACACACTTCATTTGATTGAACTGACTCTGATTAGCTGTACTGGAACTGAAAACTCAGAATTTTCCAGAGTTACGGTTTGCACTTTACGCCGAAGCGCACCAATTTGAAGTGTCGCGCAGCTGTCGCAAGGCCGTTCACTCCAGAAGTGCGTTTCCTCGCACCGGTCATTTTGCTCTCTGTTCTAATCAAATTTAGTGCGCTGTCTTTTTCTGCTTGTGTGTGTGTGTGTGTGTGTGTGTGTGTGTGTGTGAGAGAGAGAGAGAGAGAAAGAGAGAGTGAGTGCGTGTGTGGCTCTGCTCGTGCTTCTCGCTCTCTGTCTAGACTCAAAAGACATGACATGTTAGGCTATATGGAAGCATGGGATGTATATTCTATTGTTTATCATAGTTAGGCTAGATCATTTCTATCATCATCATCATCATCAGTGTATTTTCCTGCCAGATTTGCTCGCGGATCGCAAACTCTGAGTCTAACCCCAAAGTCTGATGTGATGAACCCTGAGATGGAAAACTGAGTTTTCAGTTTCAGAGCAGCTGATTAGAGTCAGTTCAATCAACTCTGAGTATGGTCACTCTGAATGACTCGTGCGTGGTGAATGTGAAAAGCCATCTACTCTGATACCACAATTCACCATGGCAACAGGTAGGCTAAATAAAATGCAGAACTTCCATTTTGGTGGATGTAGAAATGTTAATGCATGAATATGCTGCCTGCGCACATTTATCTAAAAACAACAACAACGAAAAGAGTCTAATTCAGAGCTGGCAAAGTCATCATTGGGTTACCGCCTACATTAAGTTTAAATAATATAGGCTATAGCCTATATATTGTACAGCTTTAATCTGACAGGGACAAATCACAGGGGCCAGCAACTGAAGATGAAAAATACAGTCGAAGATTTAATACATAGCCCTACATATTATATACATATATATCAAAGAGAGAGACATGATTGTAAGATCACAGTCTGATCTAGTCACAATGTGTTTGGTGATTTGCACTTGAAAAGGTATGGAGGTTAAAATACAGTAGATTTTGAATTTCAGACATCTACACTGAACAAAAATATAAACGCAACACTTTTGTTTTTGCTCCCATTTTTCATGAGCTGAACTCAAAGATCTAAATCATTTTCTATATACACAAAAGACCCTTTCTCACAAATATTGTTCACAAATCTGTCTAAATCTGTGTTAGTGAGCACTTCTCCTTTTGCCGAGATAATCCATCCCACCTCACAGGTGTGGCATATCAAGATGCTGATTAGACAGCATGAATATTGCACAGGTGTGCCTTAGGCTGGCCACATAAAAGGCCACTCTGAAATGTGCAGTTTTGCTTTACTGGGGGGGGGGGGGTCAGAAAACCAGTCAGTATCTGGTGTGACCACCATTTGCCTCACGCAGTGCAACACATCTCCTAGAGTTGATCAGGTTGTTGATTGTGGCCTGTGGAATGTTGGTCCACTCCTCTTCAATGGCTGTGTGAAGTTGCTGGATATTGGCAGGGACTGGAACGCGCTGTCGTATATGCCGATCCAGAGCATCCCAAACATGCTCAATGGGTGACATGTCTGGTGAGTATGCTGGCCATGCAAGAACTGGGATGTTTTCAGCTTCCAGGAATTGTGTACAGATCCTTGCAACATGGGGCCATGCATTATCATGTTGCAACATGAGGTGATGGTCGTGGATGAATGGCACAACAATGGGCCTCAGGATCTCGTCACGGTATCTCTGTGCATTCAAAATGCCATAAATAAAATGCACCTGTGTTCGTTGTCCATAATATACGCCTGCCCATACCATAACCCCACCTCCACCATGGGCCACTCGATCCACAACGTTGACATCAGCAAACTGCTCACCCACACAACGCCACACACGCTGTCTGCCATCTGCCCTGAACAGTGAAAACCGGGATTCATCCGTGAAGAGAACACCTCTCCAACCTGCCAGACACCATCGAATGTCAATCAATCAATCAATCAATTTTATTTATAAAGCCCAATATCACAAATCACAATTTGCCTCACAGGGCTTTACAGCATACGACATCCCTCTGTCCTTATGACCCTCGCAGCCGATAAGGAAAAACTCCCCAAAAAACCCCTTTAACGGGGAAAAAAAACGGTAGAAACCTCAGGAAGAGCAACTGAGGAGGGATCCCTCTTCCAGGACGGACAGACGTGCAATAGATGTCGTACACAACAGATCAGCATAATAAATTAACAGTAATCCGCATGACACAATGAGACAGAGAGAGAGACAGAGAGAGAGATGCAGGTAATGACAGTAGGTTACAACAACATTATTGAAAGTAATAATATTATAGTTATAGTTCTGGCTACTGTGGTACAATATGTTGAAAGTATGTATTAATATCTGGCAGTATACATGTGTGACAATAGTCATATGTGTATAATAACAGTAGAAGTATGACTAATGACTAATGATGGCAGCAGCAGCAGGAGGCATCTGGCAGGACCACGGCAGCAGCACAACCACACACGTCACGCTGTCCAGGCACCGCTGCGATATGAGTTAATCTGAGAGACAGTGGAGCACAAAGGCTCCGGAGAAGAAGCCGAGTTAGTGACATCCAGAATGGCCGAGTTAGCAAGATGCAGTAATAGAATACGAGAGAGAGAGAGAGAAGGAGAGAAGGTGCCCGGTGTATTATAGGGGGGTCCTCCGGCAGACTAGGCCTAAGTCAGCCTAACTAGGGGCTGGTACAGGGCAAGCCTGAGCCAGCCCTAACTATAAGCTTTATCAAAGAGGAAAGTCTTAAGTCTAGTCTTAAATGTGGAGACGGTGTCTGCCTCCCGGACCGTAACAGGAAGATGATTCCACAGGAGAGGAGCCTGATAGCTGAAGGCTCTAGCTCCTGATCTACTTTTGGAGACTTTAGGGACCACGAGTAACCCTGCGTTCTCAGAGCGCAGTGTTCTGGTGGGATAATATGGCACTATGAGCTCACTAAGATATGATGGAGCTTGACCATTTAGAGCTTTATAAGTTTACAGTAGGATTTTAAACTCAATTCTGGATTTTACAGGGAGCCAGTGCAGAGAAGCTAAAACAGGAGAAATATGATCTCGTTTCTTAGTTCCTGTTAGTACACGTGCTGCTGCATTCTGAATTAGCTGGAGAGTTTGTGAGCATTTGCCCACTCAAGTCGGTTACAACGATGAACTGCAGTCAGGTGGAGACCCCGATGAGGACGACGAGCATGCAGATGAGCTTCCCTGAGACAGTTTCTGACAGTTTGTGCAGAAATTCTTTGGTTATGCAAACCGATTGTTGCAGCAGCTGTCTAGGTGGCTGGTCTCAGACGATCTTGGAGGTGAACATGCTGGATGTGGAGGTCCTGGGCTGGTGTGGTTACACGAGGTCTGCGGTTGTGAGGCTGGTTGGATGTACTGCCAAATTGTCTGAAACGCCTTTGGAGATGGCTTATGGTAGAGAAATGAACATTCAGTTCACGGGCAACAGCTCTGGTGGACATTCCTGCAGTCAGCATGCCAATTGCACACTCCCTCAAAACTTGCGACATCTGTGGCATTGTCCTGTGTGATAAAACTGAACATTTCAGAGTGGCCTTTTATTGTGGCCAGCCTAAGGCACACCTGTGCAATATTCATGCTGTCTAATCAGCATCTTGATATGCCATACCTGTGAGGTGGGATGGATTATCTCGGCAAAGGAGAAGTGCACACGAACACAGATTTAGACAGATTTGTGAACAATATTTGAGGGAAATGGTCTTTTGTGTGTATAGAAAATGTTTTAGATCTTTGAGTTCAGCTTGTGAAAAATGGGAGCAAAAACAAAAGTGTTGCGTTAATATTTTTGTTCAGTGTATTTGAATCTTTGGCCCAACAGTGTTCATTGGCTTTATTACAGCTACTTTAACAAATGTAAATTTAAACACAGCCCGTGAAATTCTGTGAAAACCTGCTCAGACTAGACGTAGTCTATTTGAAAAATTAAATTTAATTCTGCAGCTGTCCAACGATCCTGCTCATCATAAATTTTAATAGTCTCCAATATTATAGGAATTATGATCTGTTAATAAGACCAATCACATCATTAGTGATAGAGATAATTATTCATGCATAAGCCTACTGCTTTTTACAATTTAAACCCAAGATTTTTTTCACATCATTTTATTTCTATGTTTGAAAAGAAGATTACACACTATATGCAATAAACGCTTTAGTAAAATTGCTCTAAGAAATCACTCAATCCTGGAACCTATCAACTGTCCTATGATGATGATAAATATGCAGATATCTGTGTAAAGGAATTAGAAGTGACTTAATGCTGTGTGATATTTTGATATGAGGGTAAGAACTGCTGTTCAAAGAAATGACTGGCAGTGCATTAAAGCAGTAGAGGGTCCTGAGTAACAAACTAATGTCCAACCACGATTCTGATTCTGACAGACCGTAATCCTCTGCTAATTAATGCGCTTTGATTAGGGCCGGAGTGGGACTCATTTTCAGCCCTGGAGTTTCATGCCTCAGACCGGCCCACTTTAGATCACGACCTACTATAACCTTAGATGTTAAGTCTACAATAGTGCACTGTTCTCTAAAGCCTTGTAATTCAGTGTATTTTTTCTAAAATATTTCCAATTCAGTGCAAGTAAGGGTTGCTTCACAATGTAGATTTATTTCAACATGAGTGCACATCTCCAACATTATTCTTTACAACACAACATCCTTTTCAACAATATCAGAATCTATATTCTGTTCTGTTCAAGTGTTCACAGATATCCAAGCCTTAAAAATGAAATAAAAGAATGAATAAAAATATTAAATATTAAATTTGAAAAAACCGGGGGAACCGGGATCTAACACAACACCGGAGGGAGAAGCATGGATTTGTTCTGTTTTGGAATACACAGTATTCTTCCAAATTAGTGTTAGTGTATTTTAATTTTGAGAATTTCGCTTCGACAAGCTCTCTCTTTTATGACCATACACCTGTTTGCATCCCTGAGAATAATGCCCAACAACATTGCTCAAAAAGTTGTTCTGTGTATCATCAGTCTAACAGTTGTGTGTCAAAATGAATGAGGGCTGCGCAATATTAGACAAAACTGACAATGCGACAACGATTTTGTATACTGTGGTATGTATTGCAATATACAGTGTATTGCAATAACTTGAATAGCTCTATTTGGAAAGAAGTCATCATTTGGGCTTTGGAAAGGCTGTATTTGCATGAAATATACATTTTACAATCTGTCATGGAAATTGAGAACTTCACAACCTAAAGTATTAACCAGCAAAATAAGTATGGCATATTGCCTTTGACTAATATTATACTGATATGATGAACTTATACTGCGAGTTTCACAATGTGACTATTGCACAAGAACACATTGCGATGGTGATGCTCTAATGATATTGTAGCCCTAAATTGAATTGAATTCTATGGTTCATCATAGAAAAATAACCAGTTTTTGGATTGGATTTATGACCCCTGGACCATTTTTGCACTGCATATGAGTGACTCCCATCAAGTTGTTGGAAGTAACTAAGTAACTTCTACTTTAAGTCGATTTTAAACAAACTACTTTTTACTTTTACTTGAGTGGATTTTTAGATGGGTAGCTTTACTTGTACTTAAGTAGAATTTTATCAAAGTAAAGGTACTTTTACTTGAGTATAATTTTTCAGTACTTTTTCCACCTCTGTGAAAAACACAGTTTTGACATCTCCTAAACTGCAGGTCTGATTCGTACCAAATTTTTGTGGATCATCATTAGACAAAGCTTGTCAAAAGTTATCAAAAGCCTGTTTATAATTCATTGGGTTTTGATAATATTGACCAATTAACTTTAGGGGGCATGGTTTAACATGTAAATAGATCTAAGTCAATAACCATAGAAGTAACATACCCTGAAAGTGAGATTTAAATCAACCACCAGGGGGCGCCACAAATGCAAAACAAGGGCATAGGATAATGCAAATTAGACTATAAATCAGAAATTGTTCATCCAGTCACCACAAAACTTGCAGGGTATGTTAATTTCTGATGTTGAATTAATGTGTAAAATTATTTTGAAATCTGACAATACAGGGCACCATCAGTTCCAAACACGTGAAACAGCCTTTCGCAAAATGTGGCCATAAATCAATGAGTGTTTGTTCAAACATCACCAAACTCGGGGATATCTGTAGCCAGAGGCATTGTTCTCAGGTTGTCCGTCCTACCTTGGGAACACAATATCTCAAGAATGCCTCAGGGGAAGTCCTTCAAATTTGGTACAAATGTCCACTTGGACTAAGCGATGAACTAATTATTTTTGGTGGTCATTAGTCAAAGGTCAAGATCACTGTGACCTTGTCTGTCTCATTATTGTGAAAGCAGTATCTCAAGATTGCCTTAAGGGATTGAGGTGATTAAAGGTCAGGGTCACCATGACCTTGCATCCATCTGATGCTTGGGAACATGACATCTGAAGTACAGATCCAAGTTATTGTTTATAAATATTGTTTTTCTTTTTAAATCTTACCATTGAATCAGTCTTACTAGTACTATTTGAATAGTATTTTTTTTACCACTTATTATTGTATTTAATACTCTAAATTACTATAACAGTACATTTTTCATCATATTAATGAAGCACTGTATCTATCTGTCTATCATAGCTTCTATAAAGTGTCATTAATTCTGTTTCAGGTTTGCTTGGGGCTGAGGTGAGGAGCTCAATTGTTGGGGGGCAAGATGCTCCAGAGAGCCGCTGGCCATGGATGGTCTACATAAACATTACATCTGATGGTGTCAACACGTGGCGCTGTGGCGGGACTATCCTCAACACTGAGTGGGTGCTGACTGCAGCAAACTGCTTGGACAAGTATGTGTATTTTCACAATTATGAAGTCTGAGCCTAAGCATCTTTCATAAAAACAATGATTATTACAGGCACCTGGGTATATCAAGAACACTATATTAGGCTACATTTTACTAATGAATTCTACTGAATTCAACTAATTCTCATTATACCTGTGAACATGTAAATATGTATATATGTGATTCATATAACAACAAAACTAATTAAAAGCATTACTGGCTAATTTGAGGTTACACCTTTGAATATCAAAATATCAGGCGCAATACATGGCTAATAGCCTTATTGATATGATGTAGGTAATATATAGATAATATAGACTCTGAAAATAAACAGCACATCAGCTCATCCTGTTATAATATGTATCAAAACAAGGCAATGCAGTATAACCCACTTCAGCTGAACTTGCCTACATGATGGAACACTAATGCAAAGTGTGTGTTTTTACAATTAATATAGCTTCTTACATGCAGAAAACTAACATGTATGTTTGTGTTGCCAGAAACCCTCCACCTAACTTGCATAGATCAATGGTTTGGGTTGGCTCACACAACCTGCAAAAGAAGTCTGCCCGTTACATGGGCATAAAAAACATCATGCTTAACCCTGCTTATCGGAACCTGGGCAGTTACTATGAGAATGACATCGCCCTGGTAAAGCTGAAGAAAAAGTTGACATTCTCAAAGCAGGTCAACAAAGTGACTCTGCCCAGCGCTGACGACATCTTTGGTTCATCATCTGAATGCTGGATCACTGGCTGGGGGAACATTGGAAATAATGGTAAGTTCTGCAAATAAAGCAAATCAAGCTTATACAACCAGGAGTCAAGGAAATATCCCACAAAGCAGCAATTGCTTATAAACTTAACACAAAAAATGACACTCCCCACAGCCTCTTTTAGCACTTGCATTTTAACAGCTCCAACAATGTTTTGGCTGCTGAAAGTGTTTCAGCAGTGAGCACGCTTCAATTTGAATAATAATAAAAATAATAATAATGATAATTACTTTATAAGCTTAAGCACTAAGTGCTTAACGACCACATGGTCTTGTGGCCGCTGGCCGCCAGGCAAAATAAATAAATAAATAAAACATAAAATAAATAAATAAATAAATAAATCTTCTCTTGGCAGCCCAAAACATTTTTATCGGCCACAATATACATATAAGTAGTAGCCTAAATACAATTTTAAATAAATATGAGTGAAATGGGGCTTCCGGTAATACAAAGTGTTTTTGGTCATCAAGCTTTTTCTCGCGATCATTGAGTGATGACATTTGACATCTGACAAGTGACAAATGAATGATGCACTCAACGTCAACGACAACATCACAACAAGAAAAGAAAATGGATCGAGGCACGAAAAGACAGGTGGAGAAGGGTGGAGCGGAGAAAAAGAGAGAGTAAAAAAGGAAGGCTATGCTCGCAGAGAGTGAAAAGTATGTGAAAATATCAGACTTATTTACAAAAAAGTGTTTACCCGGTGGCGACAGACCGAGCACCTCTGCAGCAAGTGCAGCTAGCAGTATGGCCTCTGCCTCAGAGAAGAGCAAACTTCTTTTCAGCCTGCTAACTACTTAAATGTAAGACATAATAATAATAATAATAAATAATAATAATAACTTAATTTGTATAGCACCTTTCAAAACGGAGTTACAACATGCTTAACAATAAAAACAATTACACAATTAAAACAATTAGTACATAAAACAATAAAACATCAAATAATTTAAAAACAGTTACAATAATTAATTACCATCAATTAAGAAAAGACCATATGATAAATGTGAGTCTTAAGAAGAGATTTAAAAGAAGACACTGAGAGACACATATTTATTTTTATACTCTAGCTGTGCAGTGCTCTTGTCATGTTTTGGTGAAGCTATTGTAATATGCATTGTGGCTGCTGTAACATTTATTATGGCTTATAACACATAGGGTCCTTCTTGTTTCTGTTGTAACTAGTGCTTTTGATAGAGCTATTGAAATGTGCACTGTGGCTGTGCAGTGCTCTTTTCATGTTTTGGTGAAGCTATTGTAATATGCATTGTGGTTGGTTTAAGATTTATGTTTCTGTTGTTATAATTTGGTTGTGCTGTATTCTGTCCAAGAGGGGGCGCCTATGGTTAATGGTGGAAGTAAGCTAAATATTTAGCCTCTGAAGTTGTGTGGTGTTTCAGATTTCAGATTTTCGTGTTTTGGTAGACATAGAGCTAGTATTATTAACTGAGGTTATTAGTCTGGCCTTTTAATGTGCCTGAATTTATGGGGGTTCTGCTGCTGCCTTATTATCTTGTGTGCTGTGCATTGTTGTCTACTGTACCAGTGCGATTGTAGTGAGTTGATTGTGTGGTGTGTTTTGAATTTCTGCATTCTCATCATATGGTTAGCTTTCCACATGCTCCCATGCAAGCCACAAATCAATTTTATCATTCATAATGACTGTGTCTGTATATCTCCTCTTCTACTGTGCATCAAGGCAGTGAGTGAGTGTGTGAGTTTCTATGGTAGTTGTGGAACAGTCTGTGCCTCTGTGGCACTCTGAAACGTTCCATCAATGGTAGTGTTTTTTATGTTTTTTGTCAAATAATATGAAAATTTTTCACCCCTGGCTGGCCGATGCGCCACCATGGGGCCTCTGTGTCAAAAATTCCAGGGCTTCTTTTTGGTCCCAGTCCGTCACTGATCGGAACTGTGCAAATCTGCAGGAAAGCCCAATCAGTCTTTGTTCAGCATTGGCAGTAAAAAAAACAAAATCGGGGAGTGCAGCGAAATGCCGCCAGCCTACTATTGTTCGTACAGAATGTGCCTTTTTCGGGGCAATGGGGGGCGAGCAAGTAACAAAACGTGTAGCTCAGCGTGTAACGTAAACAATGACGTACAATACATGCCGCGGCTGGTCAGTCCTTCAGGGATTCTCTCATAAGTTGGCCCGTCCTTCACCATTCCCGTCAGTTGACGGTTAATGGCCTCTTCGATTGTGAGGGCAAGAAAGGCGAGCAATTCCTTGTCTCCCCAGTTGCTCATCTTTACAGTGTCTTTCAGGTTTGCGTTTTCCTCTTGCTACTAGCTGCTCATTTCTGCTATCAGCTGTTTCCTGTTAGTCCACCGCCAGTGGGTCGCATGTGCGGCGTCATCAACAGTTCCTCCCACAAGTCATCAACAGCCCCTCCCATGGCGGAAGGGCGCCTCATTCTTTTTAAACCAAAAAGGTTCCGCCAATATGTTAACCCCTACATGGCAGAAAATTGGGTACCTCAGACCAACTCGCCAATTCGGCTCTGTGTGTTTAAACACTCGGAGCTTGCCTGCAAAACGGCCCAACATTAGCCGGGACGAAAACCACATTGCTCCTCCTCAATCTGAGGTTCAACTATCAACCGGACCCTCTTCTCCAGCACCCTGGAGTAGACCTTACCGGGTAGGCTGAGGAGTGTGATCCCCCTGCAGTTGGAACACACCCTCTGGTCCTCTTTCTTGAAGATGGGGACCACCACCCCGGTCTGCCACTCCAGAGGCACTGCCCCCGATGTCCACACAATGTTGCAGAGGCGGGTCAACCAAGACAGCCCTACAACATCCAGAGCCTTGAGATAACCAGGGCGAATCTCATCCACCCCCGGGGCTCCGCCGCCGCGGAGTTGCTTCACTACCTCGGCGACTTCTGCCCCAGAAATTGGACGACCCACCCCCGAGACCCCCGGCTCTGTTTCCTCACTGGAATACGTGTTGGTGGGATTGAGGAGCTCCTCAAAGTATTCCTTCCACCGCCCGACAATGTCCCCAGTTGATGTCAGCAGCTCCCCGCCCCCACTGTAAACAATGTTAGCAAGCTGCCGCCTTCCCCCCCTGAGGCGCCAGACGGTTTGCCCGAACCTCTTTGGAGCCGATCGATAGTCTTTCTCCATGGCCTCCACGGACTGCTGCTGCGCTCCGCTTGGCCCGCCAGTACCCATCAGCTGCCTCCGGAGAACCACAGACCAACCATGCCCTGTAGGCCTCCTCCTTTAGCCTGACGGCTGATTACCACTGCGACTGGCCCCAGCAACCTTGCGGCCACAGCTCACAACAGCCGCCTCGACAATGGCAGAGCGGAACAAGGCACATTCGGACTAAATGTCCCCCTCCGCCCTCGGGACGCGGTTGAAGTTCTCCCGGAGGTGGGAGCTGAAGATCATCTTGACAGGTTCTTCCACCAGGCGTTCCCAGCAGACTCTCACTGCTTATTTGGGCCTGCCAGGTCTGCGTGGCGTCCTCCCCTGCCATCTGATCCAACTCACCACCAGGTGGTGATCAGTTGACAGCTCTGCTCCTCTCTTCACCCGAGTGTCCAGAACATATGGCCGCAGGTCAAATGATACGACAAAGTCAATCATTGACCTGCGCCCTAGGATGTCCTGGTGCCACGTGCACCGATGGGCATCCTTATATTCGAACATGGTGTTCGTTATGGCCAAACTGCGACCCGCACAGAAGTCCAATAACTGAACACCACTCGGGTTCAGATCGGGCAGGCCGTTCCTCCCAATCACGCCCCTCCAGGTCCTACTGTCATTGCCTACGTGAGCGTTGAAGTCCCCCAGCAGAACAATGGAGTCCCCGGTCGGGGCACTATCCAACACCCGTCCCAAGGACTCCAAAAAGGGCAGGGAAATCTGAACTGCTGTTCGGCGCATAAGCGCAGACAACAGTCAGGACCCGTTCCCCGACCTGAAGGCGCAGGGAAGCAACCCTTTCGTCTACTGGGGTGAACCCCAACGTACAGGCAGAGAGTCTGGGGGATATCAGAAAGCTCACCCCGGCCCTCCGCCTCTCACCCGGAGCAACTCCAGCAAAGGAGAGAGCCCAACCCCTCTCAAGGACTTGGGTTCCAGAGCCGGAACTATGTGTCGGGGTGAAACCAACTATAACTAGCCGGTAGCGCTCAACCTCTTCCACAAGCTCCGGCTCCTTCCCCACCAGAGAGGTGACATTCCATGTCCCAAGAGCCAACTTCCATAGCCAAGGATCGGACCGCCAAGGCCCCCGCCTTGGTCTGCTGCCCGATCCACACTGCACCGATCCCTTCCGGATCCCTCTGTGGGTGGTGGGGGTCGTGTTGGACTATTTCCTGACTACAGTTTTTACACTTCAGTTTTTGTTTTCTCCAGATGAATCACTAAAAGCATCTTCTGACTGTCCCAGTTACATAAATATACTTAGCTTTGAATAATGATTTTTGTCTGATTCTGATTCCTCCAAAAAAGTTTAATTTTTGTTAGATGAGGGAAACTCAAACCCTGAGTTTCTCTGTCTCCTCCCTCTGACAGAGCCACCATGTTGTATAATATCCTCATTGATTCAGTTCGTATTAAACCTTGTATCGAAGCGCATTAATTAGCAGAGGTTTACTGTCTGTCAGAGTCAAAGTCCTGTTTGGATATTAGTTTGTTACACATGACCATCTAAAGTTACCACTTTTATATGCTGTCAGTCATTTCTTTGAACAGAATTTTTTGTCCTCACATTCAGATATTACACAACATCAACTCACCTCTAATCTCATGAAACAGATAGTTTATCTGCATGTGTAGCTCTATTACGGCCTCCATACAAACAGTAACAAAACCCAGCTCAACAGGGGCAGGAGGCTGCAACATATAAAAAGAGAGGACGCCACACCAAAAGTAACAGTTTACCCACCAGCTTTATTGTATACCCCAAAACATTAAACAAAGACACAAACAAACTAAAGGAAAACAAAAAGGGACTAGGGACCCCGGCAAAAAGGAACAAAAGGAGGGAAGACACTGGGCCAACCATGTAGTGGGCCAGCGCTCCCCCTAAACTACCTAAAACATGAATTAAACCTAAAGAAAACAAAAGAGACAAATAACGTGACTACCGGCAATTTCCAGCCCAAACTAACACAACAAACTAAAACAACGAAACCCCAGCACCTAAACGAGCATGGGGGGAAATAACCTGTTTGGGGAGAGGAAAAACAAGGGAGGAAGAAAAAGATTCCTCCCTACCTGATCTGTTGTCTGTCTGCCATGTGCCATGCCTCCGTTGTCTCTACACTCCCTGTCCCTCTTATCCCCTCCTCCCCTCTCTACCTGAGTGCAGGCAGAGGGAGGAGGGAGACCATCCTGGCAGAGGGAGAGAGAGCGAGAGAACAGGCTGCTGCACATAAACATGTTTTAACAGCATTTCAGTGAAAATGTTTAGATTTATTATGTAAAATAGCAGAAATAAAGCCACTGAATGCTGTTGAGCCAAAGATTAAAATAGATGTCTTAGATTTAAAATCTTGTATTTTAACCTCCACACATTTTCAAGTACAACCACCAAATACATCATTACTGGATCAGATTGTTATCTTTCAATCATGTCTTTATGTCTTTGATTCATATATTTTTAAAATCTTCAGCTATATTTTAAATGATCAGTTGCTGGCCTCTGTGTTTTGTTCCTGTCAGACTAAAGCTGAACAAATATATATAAAATGCTGACTTATGTAGGCTATGGCCTAGTGATGAACAATGGACAACACTGAATAACACTTTGTTCTGTTAACTTATTGACACTTTTCCCTGCTCTGACATAGGTTGCTTTTTAAAAAATATACATGTGCACAATCTGCATATTCATGCATTAATATCATTTGTCAGCTTGATTAAAATAGAGGCTCTGCATTTTATTTTTACCTGTTGCCACTGTGAATTGTGGTATCGGAGCTCCACTTCTGTTGGCTTTTCTCACTCAACACGCATGAGCTTAACTCAGAGTGAACATATTCAGAGTTGATTGAAATGGCTCTGATCAGCTGAAAGCTCAGAGTTTTCCATCTATCTTGGAGTTAGTCAACTAAGAGCTTAGGGTCAGACTCAGAGTTTGTTAAAACTGCTTTTTGAACAGGGCCCTTGCTGTAATTCATTAAAGACAAAAATATCCAGTTGTAAATACAGGCCTAACTTCAGTCACTATACAATATCACCCTCTCATTTGCTCTTTCTGTGTGTGTGTGTGTGTGTGTGTGTATGTATGTATGCAGCTCCACTGCCGGATCCAGAAACTCTTCAAGAGCTGAAGATTCCCATCATCCCTCACAGTGTGTGTAAGGCCAAGTATCCTGAACTGACGTCTGGCATGCTGTGTGCAGGGGGCATGGATGAGGGGAAGGATGCCTGCAAAGTAAGTTTTACTATTTAGGTCAGGTGAAATATAAATTCAACTGTCTTTGAGGGGGGCACAACTCCTAGGTTGGGAGGCTACGCTATTTAACTACATGAAGTAGTTAAAACTGGCTCCACCTTACACCAACAGTAAAATGCTGCTTATGCATTGATGAATAAGTATTAATAACCTATGAAAGTCATACATGATGATATATGAGTTTCAGGGATAGGGGTGGGTAGTAAAGCGTTTTACTTTTCACTTGAGTATATTTTTGAGCCTGTAATTTACTTTTTTCTGTAGCAGCACGAAAGTAGCACCTCTACTGCAGATGTCAATGACAGAGCCAATTAACTATGGAAATTCAATTAATCATTGAATTTCCATAGTTAATTGGGATTAATTGCACTTTTTAATCACAGGTTTGAAATTTTGTAATTTTGCATTTCAAAACTATTTTGAAGTCCATATTAACAAGGTGACGCAATTCTTACCAGGGTGTTTTGTTTGGGAATCAAAATAATGCAAAAGAAAATTACTTTATGATCTTGACTTTTGTATTTTTTTTCTTTCAAATCAGTGTTGCTCTGCTGCAACAGTGTGGTCAAAGAGACAAAATAGCAGAACACAGTTAACCCTCTGAGACCCACATACTGTAGACCCATTTTTATCTTTTTTGGGGGGAACAGATGACCTTTTGGGGGAGATAGCAGGTCATCAGTATATGTTACATGGATGTGGTATATATCACCTGAAAGCTGACCTGAAAATTACTTTGAGCTCTGCACTGTGTCAAGTTTTTCTAGTCAGAAATCTGTAATAAACAATGATTGCAAAAAAGCGCATAGGTTGTGCCCAAAACTGTTTGGGACTAAGATAAAGTGGACATGTCTGCAAATAGGAGAATTGTGGATACCCATAGAACCCATTTTCATTCAGATATCTTCAGGTGAGAGGTCAAGGGACCTCTGTGAAAAGGCTATGCTGTTTTCCCTCGCCAAAATTTTGCCTAACTTTGGAGCATTACTTAGCCCCTTTACTGAGAAGCTACCATACGAACCATAACATGATTCCTTAAGTCCTCTAGTTTCATATGATACCAGTATCGTCACTCTAACTTTAAAACTCAAATGCTAACAGTCCTACTCTTTATGCAAAATCTAAAAAAGACAGCAGTTGTATGATGAAGTGCTTGCTGTGCCTCCTAAAAACCACCAAGACCTTTACCTTTAAAAACTCCTCCTCTAGCCTCTGCAAGATTAGATATACTTTATTGATCCCCCAGAGGGGAAACTCAAGTATCACAGCAGCACAAGACAAAATCAAAGGACATTAAATAGAGTAAGATTGAAGAGAAAAAATAAAAAGTAAAAATTAAGGATAATAACAGATAAATAAAAGATACAATAAAATTGCTACATGAATAAAATTGCTACATCAGATGAATAAAGTGACTAAAAAATGGCAAAGTGTTGAATGAAATAAAGTGACAGGTGGCAGATAAAGTGTCATATTGGACGGATGCAAGATAAGTCCGTTCCGAGATGGATGTAGCTTAAGCCAGACCGCTGTTGTACAGTCTGATGGCGGTGGGCACAAAAGAGCATCTGAATCGTTCAGGTCTGCACCTGGGTGGGATAATCCGCTGGCTTAATGAGCTGCCCATCAGCCACAGCTCATCGTGGAGGGGGTGAGAAAGATTGTCCAGGATTGCACAGATTTTGTCCTTCACCCTCCTCTCAGCCACTGTCTCCAGACTGTCCAGGTCCAGTCCCACCACAGAGTGAGCTTTCCTCACAAGCTTGTTGAGCCTGTTGACCTCACCAGTCTTAACTCCACCCCACCAGCACACTACAGCAAAGAAGAGTGCACTGGCAACCATAGACTGGTAGAAGGTCTTGAGAAGCCCACTACAGATGCCAAACTATCTGAGTCTCCTCAGGAAGAACATCCTGCTCTGTCCTTTCCTACAGAGGGTATCTGTGTTATGAGTCCAGTCCAGTTTATTGTTGATGTGGACCCCAAGGTACTTGTACGAGTCCACCATCTCCACCTCCTCGCCCTGGATAGGACTCTGGTTCCTCCAGTAGTCCACCACCATCTCCTTAGTCTTGCTGATGTTGAGTTGAAGGTGATTTCGGTTTCGGTTGCTCCACATGACAAAGCTCTCAATCAGTCCTCTGTACTCCTTCTCGTCATTATTGCTGATGCATCCGACTACAGAGGAGTCGTTGGAAAACTTTTGGAGGTGGCAGGAACCAGAATTGAACCGGAAATCAGAGGTGAAGAGGGTGAGGAAGAATGGTGCCAGAACAGTTCCTTGGGGCACCCCAGTGTTACTTGATACCACCTGGTTGAATGCTGTTGAAGGCACTGGAGAAGTCAAAGAATATGAATCTCACATAGTGCTTCCAGCACTCTCCAAGTGACACAGAGCCTTGTGAGTAAGGAAGATGATGGTATCCTCCACACCAATGTGCTGCTGTTAAGCAAACTGCAGGGGGTCCAGGAAGGCAGAGAGCAGTGGCCTCAGGTGCTGGAGGGGGGGCAGTGGAGTGAGGGGGGGGCTGTCAGCTGAAGTGGTCGATGAGCAGGGGGAGGGAGAGGGAGACAGGTCGCTGCTGGGGAGAGGAGCAGAGTCTACAGCAGAGGTGTGAATGGGTACAGTGATGGTGGGTGGGGACTCTGATCCACAGACAGAGCTCACAGGGGGGTTGTTGTCTCAGACCTATTGAAGAATAAGTTTAGCTCTGTTGCAAATTCTGGGCCACCTTTGATTCCAGGTGTGGCTTTCCCACAGCCTGTCATCCTCCTCATCTCATTCCACACCTCTTTTGTGTTATTCTGTCCCATCTTGGCCTCAATCTTCTCCTTGGCCTCCCTCAGTCTCCTCTTCAGCTCCTTCTGAACAGCCCTGAGTTCCTCGTAATCCTTGGACATGGATGCCCTCTTCTTCCTGTTAAGAAGGCCTTTAATGTCTTTATTGATCCATGGCTTGTTGTTAGAAAAGCAGCGATCCTTTTTTTGTTGGGACAATGATGTCCTCACAGAATTTCATGTAGTCTGTAATGCAACGAGAGAGAACCTCCATGTCATCGCTGAAGTCTTCTATAAAAGTCCCCAGTCTGTGTCATTAAAACACTCCTGCAGCGCCTCCTCTGTGTGTCATCAAACCAGACCTTTACAGTCCTTGTGCTGGCCGCCTGCTGTTCCACCATCGGCCTGTAGGTGGTGTCAATAGATAGAGTATCAGGTTGTGGTCACCAAGTGGAGGGAAAGAATAAGAATTATATTATATTATATTATATTATATTTATATTATATTATATTTCGTCACACTGGCATACAGAAAATACAGGATTTTATTCCCTCTCGTTGCATAGTCCACATATTGTGTGAAGTTGGTCGGGACAGGAGAGAGAGACATGACTGAGGTCCTCACTGATCAGGATGAGAGCGCTGGGGTGCTGCATCTGCAGTCCTGCGAACACTGAGGGGAGGACGTCTGGCTGCAACAGCTGATGGGGGAATGTAAACAACCACCATGATGGCGTGTGAAAACTCCCACGGTAGATAGTACGCCGTAGTCCCACCACCAGGAGTTCTACATCCGGAGTAGGCTACACACACAGTCCTTTACGGTTACATGTCTGGGGTTACATCACTTAGTGTTAACAAAGATAGCAAGCCCCCCTCCTCTCTTCTTGCTGCTCTGCTTCCCTGCTCCGCGCGGATTAGTGTGAAGCCGGGTAGATTGATAACACTGTCCGGTGCAGAGTCCTGCACTGGGTCGGGTACCCGCGGGTACCCACAAAAACAGCTGATTTGCGGGTGGTTTTTTAAAAAAACATTTTTCCCAGGTTCGGATCTGGGTGGGAAAAATAACATGCGGGTCGGATCGCGGGTTTTAGATAAACACATCAGTCATTAATTCGGTAAACTACAGATAACTATCTTGGTCATTATTTACTCTCTGAGGATCGCCTCCGCTATTTCGCAACGGTCATTGGTTCAGCTGTTTATACGCGTTTACACCATCTAATAACACAATTTGTGATTGGACGACAGAATCAACATGGCTGCCACCGTCTAACAAGCGCCGCTTCCAAAACAGTAAATAATTATTTAGGTATTTGAGAAATAAGTGGATAAAACTTTATAATGTTTCTGAAGTGTGTTTCCCTGATGGATTACTTATCTCCTCGATGGATTCTAAAAACACGTGACGGCTCGAAACTGCTGAACGTCGCTCTGGACAGAAAGTAAGTCTATTATTACACATGTAAAGTTCCTTTACATAGATTAAAAGTTTAAAAGCATTAAACTTAACAAACGAGTGCTTTTACACTCGTGTGGGAGAAGAACACAGAGGGTTGATGATGGAGCTGAAGTCAGGTTTTCATTGTGAGAGCTGCTTCATTCAGGTCGTTGTTTACTTACTGGCACCTTAACTGTGGCGATATGCTGTTCAATATTCAGCCAATATGACCCAAAATGATTACTTAAATCCGGGTTACGGGTCGGGCTGCGGGTCGTGTTTCAACGGGTCGGACCGGGTTGCGGTACTAATTGGCCTGATGCGCGGGTTTGTGGTTCGGGTGCGGGTTTGTACGTCGCAGGGTAGGGGCGGGGCGGATCTTGAAAACTGGACCCATGCAGCCCTGCGTTCCAAATCGCATACTTCTACTATATACTTTTAGTATGTACTGCAGCTGCCCTTAAAAAGTATGTAGCGTAGTATGCAGTATGCATGCAGTAGGCTATGCATACTATTGGGACACACTACATCCGCCATCACGTTGCTCCCTGAACTCTGACCCTCTTGCTCACTTCCGCAGCCGTCCGTAGCGCCACATTTGAATATTTTGTGTTGTTGTACTTCGGAGAAGCAGCAAATTTCCTCTCGTCGAGCTCGCCAGAGTCGTGCATACCGTCGGAGGTGCCAGAGAGCTGTGTTGCTGTTATGTCATAATGTATGTTGTTGTTTCCAATAAACTGACGTGTTCACGTAAACAGTCTCAAGCCTATTATTAGTGACCTGTCTATTGAACTAGTCACCAGTAGGCATATTAACCCCCTTCACACATAGTTCTCTGTTGCTGGCAGATGTTTGATGTTAAATTTATTTACAGCTATGCAGCTGCTGGCACTATATTCTGTCTGCACGTGAAGCAGCCTTACATTCACATTACTTTTATTTGTAGTGTAACATACTTGCACATTCTTACTACATTACTTAATATGTATATTTGACTTTTACTATTTATATATTTACTACTCTATACTGCTCATACCTGGCCCATAGTATATTCATATTTAGTCGTATTCATTCATTATTTATACCACACTTACACCACTGCCTATACTGGTAGAATCTTCTATATTGTAGTCATAGTTGAACCCTAACATTGATTATACTATAATCACAATAAAGTTGAATGTTGTAACCATGTTCTTGCAAAACTGTATGATATGTGACAGTATATAATCAGATCATTGCAGTCATACTATGTAGTGTCTTAGTATCTCAAATTAAATAAACCATGTATGAAAGGAAGTGTGGGCGTTGGTTGTACATGCAGCTCAGTCAGTGTGACGTAACTTCCGCTGCGCAAAGGATTGTGGGTCAGAATGGCCAAAGAAGCATGCTGACATGCATACTGCGAAATATGGCCGGATGTAGTAGAACATCCTGGTACTTTTGGCATACTGCATCTGACATACTATGTATTGGGACACACTAATTCTTTTTCTGGCATACTAAATAGTATGGTAGTATGGGTATTGGAA